AAAAATGGAAATAATTGCTCTGGACACCGTTTTTATAAAAAGCTTTGGCAATCATCTGCACGACATAGTTCTTGCCTGTTCCTGGTGTGCCATGAAAACTCATAACCAACGCCTTATGCGAATTGTGATTTTCCAAGTGGCCTCGAAGTGCATTTATGATCGTTTCATGGGCAATTTGTTGCCCGTATAATTTAGCAGTAAGTACATATTCTAATCCTATAATTTCAATAATTTTTTAATATTTCTGTGTAAATGTACATGTATAAGACAAAAAAATAGATAGTAATTATACAATTTAGCTTCCGCTAGTTCAAAAATCAATAAAATTAGGCTTATTCGATGTGTTTTTGCATGAAACGAAAGAATTTGGCAGAAAAATAATAGAAGTCGTGCGTCCCTTGGCAGAAGGAAAGGAAGGGGGCAGAGGGAGTGAAAGTCGAAACCTATGTGTACAGTACAAAACATTGTATATAGATCTCGTTTCGCCTCTATGACAGATTTCCTAACCTCAATAGTAGTCAACTTCAACGCTTAATATCTCGGTTCGTAGGGCAGAGCGGCACTTTTTTCTGCCATAGATTCTTTCACATGCGAAAACGCATCGAATAAGTCTAATTTTATTGATTTTTAAGCTGCGGAAACTAAACTGTATAATTACCAAATACATTACAATATTCCGATATAAATTGATAATTAAATTATTTCTGATTTCAAATTAATAATTAAACAAAAATTAATGATAACCAATGATTATCAGAAAATATTAAAGGAAATAAAAATACATCAAATTACTTTTAACAAAAATAAATCCACATATGCGAATCACTTATTGGATTGAAAATACCTTTAATTCTATTTAATGACAATACATGAATTAAAATTTTTTTATAAGAAGAAATCATATAGATTCACACTTACTATCCAAGTCGGCAGGAATGTATTCATCTGTGCAGCATTCCTGGTACACGCATTTGTACTTGTCGTACACGTAATAACCTAAACCACTTAATGCACCACTTACTACACCAAGTGTTATAAGTTCGCCTTGTGCAAATGCGAGGAATTTTGTAAAAATCAGTAAAAGCGTCAGGACGCGTTCGATAAGATTCATGTTATTGAACTCTTTTTCTTCTTTTTCTTTTGATCGCCGGCTTCGCTGTTGGGAGAACGGCAAGTCCGGCTATTTTCTTACAGTCTTCCTCGCAGATCAACACAGACTCTCGATGGTATATCATACCATAATACTATGTACTGTACTATGTGTATTCAACTGTAGTAGCATCACAACTGTGGTAGCATTGTTTCTCCATCGCGTTAAATAGTCTGTTTTCTGTTCCAGACCACTTAAGACTAGAGCTTTAGATTTACAAGAGTAGCGCATTTCTTTGTTGGCGTTTTCGCTCTTTTTTTTTTAACCGCCATTTTAGACCTGTTTGTGACAGTTTAGTGACAGCTAGGAAACTGATCACAAAAATCCGAGCAATTACCCGTACGGCAATAAATAAAAGCTCTATAAAACTAGCAGGGTCAAATTAGCAAAATCAAATCGGATCTATTGGAATGTTTAGTATTAATTTGTGCCATTAATCATAATTTTGTACTTTGTGCCATTATGAGAAAAATTGTGACACTGCTATAGCCTGTAAGGGTACGTATCCACTGAGCGCGTCACGCGTCGTCGAAGGAGAGAAAGAGAGGGGTTGTGTATTTACATAATCTTATCTCTTTCTCTCTTTCATGACGCGACGCGTGACGCGCTCAGTGGATACGTATCATAATAGTTAGCAGGACTAATTTAAAATAAAACGAAAGATCGTATCAGAAATTAATAGGATTGAATTTTTACTAACTTGTATTACCAAAACAATTTTATATTATGCGTCATTAAGTTAATATTTTACATTTTTTTTTTAATGACTTTATTAATATACTAATCAATATGTCAGTGATCTCAACAAGAAAACCTAAATGAACCTGGCACTTTACTTTAAGAAAACAAAAATTTGGTAAATTTTCATAAAAAATGGCGGGCAGTTTGCGCTACTTTTGACAAATATCACGTATATTTATCTCGCTTTAAATTCCAAAAGTGTACACTAGTTCAGCCACTGAAATCGAACCTTAGGATTACCATACCTAACCATGTTTGAATTATAAGAAAAGAAAATATATTATACATATATATATATATATATATTTTTTTTTTAAGATGATTCAGGACCGAAGAAGAGTTCAGTTTTTATGCGTTAAATAGTATTATTTAATGAAATATAATTTTTGTTGATAATTCTCATTAATATAATTTTATAAAAATAAAATTTTAATTAATGATCTGAAGAACCGACGAAATACTATTAAAGACGATCGGCGCTTATGGAAGTTCGCCGTTTGCGTGTCTGTTAAAATTTAAGTGAGTAATGCCCGTTTCTACTAATGTAGATTAACTTTAATCTCGGTTCAACGTACTCTTCGTCTTTTTCTAGTTCTAAAGATTAAAAAAAGGCAAAGAGTAAGTTGAATCGAGATTAAAGTTAATTTACATTGGTGGAATGGGCGGAATGGGCATTAGAGTAAGAAACTGATAATACGATACAAAAAAATTCCATGATTTATTAGTTTCGTAAACACGTATATGTGTGTTTAAAACTTAATAATACTCGATTTTTATTTAAAACTGATTTTAATGTTTTTATCCGAATTTGATAATCAATATGAGAAGATAATTACAGAGAAAAAATTGCCCTGACCCATCTCCCGAGTCCTGAGATGAGGCAGTTGAAGCCAGTTGCTGGATTCACCCTGCATCCAATTTGCGTCGTACGATGCTCTACAACCAATCAGAAAACAGGATTGTGATGATACGAAGCAAAATCCATCGGAATCCTGTTTTCTGATTGGTTGCACAGCGTCGTGCGACGCACATCGGATGCAGGGTGAATCCAGCAATTGGAGCGAAGCGGGACTCGGGAGTAAAAACGATGACGTATTGATGACGTAATTAGAGTCGCTGGGAGCGTTCCGAAGCATCAAGTGGACCAGTCATGTCAGTGACTTTAGTTTCCATCGAGGGTTTAAACCGGATCAGGGGCTCTATTCTTGAAAAGAAACGTATACGAAATTCTAGGGAAATGCTACAGTATACGTTACGTATACTATAGTATTTCCCTAGACTTTCGTATACGTTTCTTTTCAAGAATAGAGCCCCAGAATGTAAAAACCAACCAACTACAATTCTTCTGGTACAGTCGGACGACAGGGGAATGCTCGACTGTAGTTGGTTGGTTCTTACATTCTGATCCTGTTTAAACCCTCGGTGGATCCTCATACGGGCAACAGCGCTTTGACACCGAACTGATTGGTGAAAAACGGGTGATGGGGGTAAATTTTACCCTCACAACCGACTTTTCACCAATCAGCGCTCTGTGTCAAAGCGTTGTTGGGGTGCGTTCCAAAACGCAACTTTGGTAACTGAAATCTATAGTTAACGTAACGTAAACTATAGCTTTTTAGTAACCAAAGTTACGTTTTGGAACGCACCCTTGCCGGGCTAAGCCAGTGCTGACAAATGCTGACAAATGCTCTGTAGCGTTTGAAGCGTCTAAGTGGACTGCGGCCTTTATCACATGACCATGCGATTGGTCAATTCTTTTTTCATTCGAGATCTCGAACTGATTTCTAGCAACGTGAACACGAGGCTTTACAAAACTGTTGCGTTCTACAGAACGCACTTATATATTCGAACGTTGAAAAGATCGAGAGAACAAAGTCGTAAAAAGTGCAAGCATTGCAAGCAATAGGTCTGTTCACGTTGCATGAAATCCCCAAATATTTTTGCACTTAAAATGAGATAGATACATATTTTGCCTTAAAAAGAGAGAAAGCGAAGATGTCAAGTGTCAAAAGTGCAAGCAACGCGAACAGGGGCTCTATTCTTGAAAAGAAACGAAAGTCTAGGGAAATACTATAGTATACGTAACGTATACTGTAGCATTTCCCTAGATTTTCGTATACATTTTAACATTTCTTTTCAAGAATAAAGCCCCAGACCTATTGTGACAGATTTATACCAATGACATATATACACAGACCAAACATTCTGGAGCTCTATTCTTGAGCTACGTTCCAAAACTTCCTCTCCGAGGAAAATTTTACTTTATATGCTATAGTATACGTTACGTGTACTATATATTTCGAGTAAAATTTTCCTCGCAGAGGAAGTTTTGGAACATAGCTTTGAAAAGAAACGTATACGAAAGTCTAGGGAAATACTATGGTATACGTAACGTATACTGTAGAATTTCCCTAGACTCTCATATATGTGTGCCTTCCAACAAGCGACACAAATGACACGGTGTGACACAATGGATCATTATATCCTTGTTGTTTGTCAATGTTAAACAAAGATGACATGATCACTGTGGGCCACTTTCACCATCGTCGGTTTACTTAACTAGCTTAGAAATAGTTCTATCTCTTTCTATTTCATTACAGTTACTAGGCTGGTTAAGTTAATTGAGCTTGGTGATAGTGGCCCTGTATCGCACTGTGTCGCTTGTTGGAAGGCGCACTATGTTTCTTTTCAAGAATAAAGCCCCTGCCCGTAGTTTGAAGCCGGAAATTGACAGTTTATGTGGCGTTTAAGACCCGTCGTGTCTCTTTCTATTTTGATGAGAGCAGTGCGATAGATTGAAATAGTACGGGTCTTAAAACACCACATAAACTATCAATTTCCGGCTTGAACCGGCAACCGGCACCACTAAAAAGCATGGGGATGCTTGATCTATGTATATATGTGTTAATATATATATAACCAGTTTCACCAACGTCAATTAATCTTAATCGGGATTAATTGACAACCGTAATTGGTCAATTCTACTAAACAGCAAATGCGATTGGTCAGTTAACAGCCGATTAAATAACTGACATTGGTGAAATCCTTTACGTATCTTGACAGTTGGCACCTCTGCATTCAACCATGATCGTGTTGCCCTCATACGGCGCCTTCGCAAATTAATCCGGAATAGCTTGAAAAATCATATAAGTTTCTCTTCATTCTCTCAGGAATCGAGTTAGACACCAACAACCAATGATAACTCAAAATTATCAGGATCCAGCAAAAACGCTGATTACATTGTGACCAAAGTCCACAACTTGTCGAATTATTTCGTGAACCGTTAATCGTTACTAGTCGTGCCCAGTCGTACCAGTTGATGCTCTGACGGGAACATCGGTGACGAATTAAGAGAAAAAACGCTGAGTCAATTGACGCAAGTCCGGCAAATCGTTTGCTAAAGGATAGTGATCTCGAGTCTCGTCAGCAAAGAAAAAGTAAAGATACGCTAATTGAGATGGCAACTAAGGATCTTAAAGACGACACCGCCGCGGCTACTTCAGCTGGCAAACTCTTCACGCGGGCAGAAGTGGAGAAGCATGCTGAAACTTCAAGAGATACATGGATCATTATTCACAATAATATCTACAATGTCACCTCGTTTCTTAATGAGGTTGCAGTTTTTCTTCTCACAAAAAAACTTAGATACTGATCTTTGTTGAATTCAATTTGAAACATTAAGTCTGTCTTTTTTATTGCCGCACTTTCTGAACTAGTACACAGTGCAATAAGTTGAAGTGAAACAAATATACGTTTATTTCACTTTAACTTATTGCACTGGTTCAGAGTGCAGCAATAAAACAGATCTATTGTTTTTGTTTACTGAAATATTTATGTTTTTTAAATATACAGTTTTTATTAAAACTACTCTGATATGTTAATTTTCTTTAATAGCATCCTGGTGGTGAGGAGGTACTCCTTGAACAAAACGGACAAGATGCTACGGAAGCTTTCGAAGATATTGGACATTCAACTGATGCCAGACAAATGATGGAATCGTATAAAATTGGAGAGCTGGTAGAAGTAAGAATTGATTTCACGACAAGCTGCATTTTACATTATCCTTGCATTTCTTTATTATTGGTTATTTGTATGTATTTTAGGCAGAAAGAACGGAAGATTCTGAAAAGAGAATCAAGAAATGGTCTAATGAAAATGAAGACAGCTCTAGGTATGATCTTATTCTCATTTTTCTATTGTACTATTTTAAAGACTTGATGATTCTAACATTCTCACAATTCTATTATATCTTTATCACGTTTTAATATTTCAGAATATTTTTTAGTGTTCCAGAAATCTATTTTCTTTGACACTATGTTTCACAAACGTCCCTAAATTTCCCAATAACAAGAGTGACACTTTTCTTCTTAATTTTCTTTAATTTTCATTATTACACACAGATGGTATGAATACAGAAATCTTTTTTAATTAAAGATAACCTCTGTTACACGGTACGCTTAATCGGGTTTAATAATATTCGTAGTTATGAAATTGACCAATCATAGCTGTTCCTTGGAAGAATGGAATAACTGTGATTAGCCAGTTTCATAACTACAAATGTTAATTAAATCCGAGTAAGGGTGTCTTGTAAAGTCAGTGGCTAGTCAATAATGTCATAACAATACTTTATCTGATGTTATCTTAATCAGATATTTTTGCACTTGTAATGTGCAAATGTATTATGATTACAAGAGCTTATCAGTAAATTTTTAATGAGCTCATTCATTATCTAACTCCGAGAACTTTCTTACATAGTCAATCCTATGCTTTGAAAGTAGTTTTAGCAATCCTAATACTTTATTTGCAATGCTAATATTGTACAGTATATTAAAAAGTTAAATTTTATGTTTGGAAAAAGTTCTTTTTAATTTTATTTTCTGTTATTACCTGAAACTTTAGTGTTTTGATATAAATGATTGAACATATGATCTACTTGATGCTATAAATGCATCAAAACATTCCTTGATTGTTCAATTAGTAAAATTCTACCAATTGATTAATTAAATACTTAAGCATATTCAAAACTTGTAGCTCTAAGTAGTTTGCCCTTAATAGCATATTAACGTTTTTTCTTCTTGTTTAAAAAAAAAATACGTTTTCTTTAAGTTTGCTAAATATATATATATTAAGTATAGACAAAATCAGTTTAATAATTTGTAACACATGAATAAAATCAAATATGAACGTGTTCATACTGTCTGCATTTAAATACAGGCAGAAAGCCTGTTTCTTTTTCTTTTTCAAGTATCATGTGTAAATATGAATCATCATATGTAAATAGTCGTTGCTGCATCGTGATGTGATGATTGGCAATTGCAGTTCTTGGTGGTCCTGGTTGATTCCAATTGCCCTTGGGGTGCTTGCCACCATCGTCTATCGCAACTTTATCAGCGCATATTAAAACATTCCGAGCCTTTTTTTCATGTTATTTACTTGTTAACAACTATATATATGTATACATATGTATTGATAAACAATTGTTGTACAATTTTTCCGAATGTATGTCGCGTACTGTTGTTTTCTATGAACCAAATAATGCATTTTCTGGCCTAGGATCTCTTCACAAGAGAAAGGAAGATAGAGAGAAAACGGCCGATAATGTGTACTATATAATGATATACAAATAACGCGCATTTATATATTTATATGTATACATTTGTGCACATGGTATATATATGCATATGTACATGTAGCGTTTATACGCGACGTTCTCCGAATTGACGAAATAAATTAATTTAATTCCTTAGAAAACAGGATTCCCACGGAATAAAGAAGTAAACCCGGTCCTTAAATCCTTAAAAACGAGAAAAAGACTACTACAAGAGGACAATAACTAATAGAAGTAATTCGATTATCGATCAAACCTTATGAAACGCGATCGTATTTGCTAATATTATTTGTACATTGTAGCAGATTAGACTAATCAAGAAGACTACGTCGACTGCATCACTGACAAGAAATAAAATAGCTGCATTGAAAATATTTTCTATAATGAGTATAATGAATTTGTAATCACATTTATTATTTTTTCTACAATTTACCAATAAGAGCATAATAGATCTCTAAAAATCTGGTAAATAATAATGCATATAAGTTGCAAATTTTAAATTAATAAAAACATGTACAAGCGATAATAATGCTATATAAAATTTGGGAATCTTTAATACTTATGATGATTTCAATTTAGATCGATTTTGAGATTTAGTATTCTAAGATCAAGACTAGTATCCACAGTCGATTTTTATTTTTATAACTATCTCAAGTACGGTCTTGAGACATCATAAATCAATCACCTGCGATAAAGACATTGCTTAAGACGGTAGTAAGAACGGTACGCTTAATCGGGTTTAATAATATTCGTAGTTATGAAATTGACCAATCATAGCTGTTCCTTGGAAGAATGGAATAACTGTGATTAGCCAGTTTCATAACTACAAATGTTAATTAAATCCGAGTAAGGGTGTCTTGTAAAGTCAGTGGCTAGTCAATAATGTCATAACAATAACTTGAAGTAAAAATCGACTGTGAATATCAGCCTAAGTATTTACTAAAATTATTCGACTGTAACATTCTTAAATAAATGAGTTGTATACGGAAAGAATAATTTTGCTATTTATTAAAAAATTTAGTTAGATAACATTTGAAAAAGTATATCTAGTGGACCATTAAAATAATAATTCAGTAAAAAATTCAAGCATGATGCGCAATACTGCAAAAAATTTTATTCTTACAACCAACTCGAGCATTTTACATAATTACTTAAAAAATTTGAAGTAAAAATCGACTGTGAATATCAGCCTAAGTATTTACTAAAATTATTTGACTGTAACATTCTTAAATAAATGAGTTGTATACGGAAAGAATAATTTATTAAAAAATTTATTTAGAAATTTATTTAAATATTTATTAAAAAATTTAGTTAGATAACATTTGAAAAAGTATATCTAGTGGACCATTAAAATAATAATTCAGTAAAAAATTCAAGCATGATGCGCAATACTGCAAAAAATTTTATTCTTACAACCAACTCGAGCATTTTACATAATTACTTAAAATATTAATAATCCGACAAAATAATTTTTAAATCTATATTTCGCCAAATTTTTCAATGCTTCAACAACTATTCTTTCTGTTTACAGAAAATGAAAATATATCAACATTAAAATTGTTAATTTTTTTTAGTATAATAGATTTATGCTATCATATAATATATTTATACATTGGTAAATAAAGATTCTGTTGCAAAGGTCATACGCAAGCATTCATCTGACCCCGAATGCAGAAAACGAGTTCAACGAAGTGGCAATAGTGGCATTGAAATTAAGCGCCGGCGATCAGACGTCCTGCGTGGCTCCCGCACGCAGGAGCCGCGTGATGTCCGTGATGAGCGCGGGATAACCAATGGATGCTACGCACCATTCTGGAGTAAGGATTCACGGTGGCGTCGCTCCGTCGTCGGTATCGAGCGAATTCTCCGACGCGCGCGTCTCGTCGCGCCGCGCCGGGCTGCGCCGCGCCGCGCCGCGCCGGTTCACGCTTTGCCCTCGCGTCTCTCCGCTCCCTCGACCCTCGACAGCGGTGGCTTTGGTAGACCTCGCCTCCGACGGCTCCAACGAACGCCCAGTAAAGCGCGAAAGCTCGTTGAGGGAGCGTCGTGGAACATTACTCTGACAGAGGCATCAGCGACAGTCGATTAAAAAAAAAAGAGAGAGAGAGAGAGATAGAGAGAGAACCGGAAGAGAGGAGACTTGTAGAGCGACATATCGCAAATAAGTAGATTCGGCGGACCGATTGAACAGCGTCGTCGCGAGGACGAGCGAGAAACGAGAAGAGAGCTTGCGAGAGAACAAAGATAGTACGCGACAGGGAGAAAGGAGCGAGTACACGCTGAGAAGAGCGACAAAAGGAGAGGACAGCAGGGACCGGTCCCGGAAGTGGAAGAGCAGAGGTCGACGGGGAGGTAGAAGGGGTGCGAGTGGACGAGGACGACGAAGGACGCGAGGACAGCAGCTGCGTAAGGAGCGAACGGCGGTGGTTGCACTGAAAAGTAGCGGCGTGGTGTCATGAGAGGCGGTCTCACGATCCGCCCTTCTTATCGGTCCCTCCAAGAGTCATGCATGTCGCGCCCCTCAAACGAGGTAAGCGCGTAATTGCTGGAGCAACCCTCCTTGTCTGTGATTTTAGGGATGCCGGTCGTATTAGATTGTCGTTGTAATCGCCGGTTTACTTGGCTTTGCAATTACATTTTTTAACATAATGGAAAGTCGGCTCAAATCAGTTAATTAATAAATCGGTCTCTGTGTGAAGATGAGAATTCTTAAAATGGACTTTCATTAAATTTTCTCTTTCATTATATTTTCTCATCTTATCGTGGACAAGCCTGCGATGTGATTGGATCTCCCTTGATACATAAGAAGTAGAGTTTTAGTTTCGTCGAACTTGTTATCCACTGAGTTTTTATATTTCTTTCGTCCTCAATGAGAATTTGAGGACTTCGATACAAAAACGGTCCCGTGAAAAAAATAAATTGAATTAATGAGTAATTATCTCAAATTCCTTAAAAAGCGAGATCATTGCGCCTTAAACTAATCGCGATTAACAGTCTCGTATCTCGCCGGTGTACACGCGATACGCCCACGTTTGTTTGTTTGCAATGAAAACAACTGGCGCGCTTCTCGTTACGTAATCGTATTAATCTTTCAAAGAAAAAACCGCTAAAGCACTTAAGAGTAATTCCTAATGCGATTAAATAATCTCCGTCCGCACGTGGTGTACGATTCGATGAAATATTTCCGAGAGAAAAGCAAAGAAAAAATTTCTGTTACAAATTAATCAGTATTATGAGAAATCTACTTTAGGTATTAATAGAAAATGGATACTTAAATAAAGCATCGCTTAATAGTTAATTATCATTTACGTAATATCTGCTAATTTTTTTACTTACAACCTTAGGCTTTTACAGTGCCTCTTAATTTCAGATAAAAATAGTTTAACAAAATTATTAAGGGGTTAGAAAATCCCTACGTACTTCTTTAGTTTTTGACATGTAGATAATGAAAATTCTTTGTATTTTGTTCAGAGTCAAACCGTGTGCCTGAAATCCTGCACACCGATTTAAAAAGAGGGATTCAGCGAGTGGATCAATGTGCCGCCATTTTAGACATAAGGCTAATAAAAAAATATTTTTTTAGTTTGTTATATATGTACACTAAAGCCCTTCAAACGGTTTTTGATCACAGTTATTCATTTACTCAAAAAAAAATTCCCAAATTTGGATATTACTTTAGAGCCTCAGGGGTGATCTAACCCCTGGAATAATGCGAGCATTTAATACATTACTATTAGAAATTATCTAATTTTTTTTGGTTGACATAAATTTATTATTAATTGCTCTGAGAAAAATGTCCTGGTCGTACTAACAAGTATGAACAAAATCATCATATCGATTAGAATTCTGATTATCTCAACTAGAATGTTTGATAGATTTAACAATAAATGTCTGATGTGTACTTTTATGATTAAATATACCATTCATTTTTGGAATTTCAATTAATGCGATTAGACTTTTTAGTGTAATATGTAAATAAATTTAAAAGACTATGCAGGACTCTCAAAAAAGTGAAAATTAAAATCGCGAAAGGACTGATAAAAGATAAAAGTGTAGCGGTAATTGGTGCACAATTTAACAATCAAAAAAACAACAATAGAAAGTATTTAGATTTACTTTATTGTTCGTTATGTCTCAATTTCACTGAAGCCGAATGTTCAAACAATAAAATAAATCTAAATATAATTTTTATCGATTGTTAAAATGCGCCAACTGTCGCGCTGTACTCTCATCAGCCCTTATACAATTTTAAATAAATAAATTTATTAATTGTTATAAATTTTCAATCAACCGTTTATCGTTTCAGCAGAAGAAGGAGGGCGCAATTAACTCTCATCCATATTCCTTTTTCTCAGCGGGAAAAGTAACTTTTACTAGTACAATTTGTTTTAAAAAAGTTATATATATAAAAAACCGAAGTATTTCTTATTGACAAAATATGATGAAATGAACAAAGCAAATAAAACAGCAAGCATTGTCCGTATAAAAGCCGATAACAATCGCGTGGCTGAGTTTGCTTCCTTTAGCTAAAAATAGCGCTGGGAAACGAAAATATCTCTTTACAAGAATATTTTATTAGGTCTAGAATATCTTAAGAGGATCTATCTCGATGAAAACAATATCATCTCAAACTATATATGTATGTGTATACGTATTCTGAATGTACTGCTTATCATACGCACTGACGTCATTCTGCAAACATAATAATCTAGTCTATGGAAAGAAGGAGGGGAAGGAAAATGCGCTTGCACTCTTGAGGAGTTACAAGAAGGAAGAAAAAAATTTAATTAAAAAATAGCTCCACCATTCAAGAGAGTATCTATATTTTCTTACTAGTTCGAACATCTCAAGCGCTAAGTAAACAATTCCTATCAACGCTGCTGACGTCAATATTGAGTATCGATGACGTTTCATGGCTGCAACTAACATTAAGAGGCATTAGGCGTACTCGTATTAATTATGAAACATGAGGAGTAGTTGAAGGCCGGCAAGAAGCATGTGGACGTTCCGAAGACGTTTCTTTTCAGGGCGTAATCGATGAAAAACTAGAACTTCGATACACCTTTACAAAAATGAAAAAAATGGAAAATTTAATACGATTGTCTTCTGAAAGACAGAAATATTTGATCTTTTTTATGGAGAGATGTATATGATTTAATTTTTTTTTTTACTTATATATATAAGAGAAGACTATTGTAAGCTCTGATAAAGACTGTCTTTATAAAAATCTAACACTAACCGATTTAATACTGAAAGATAATAATTAATTTCTTATTTCAGATATTAAAAGCATTGTTGTTCAGAGTTTTTAGTACTCCAAATAAGTAATTAATTTACTGTCTTTTAGTAATAAATTGGCCAGTGTTAGATTTCTGTCGAAGTGATAAAGATTATGAATTTATAACAATAACAAGAAGAATTCAAAGAGAACGAAAACTTTCCTTTTCGTAGCATTTTTAGCTACTTGGCGGAATAATAAATAATTTCGAGACACCCGATGTGCCCACAATTGAAGGCAACGAGTGTTTCGCGTCACGAATGCACTCGAATAGGTTAACTACGAAAAACCTGTTGGTCGCGTCCTCGTGGTCGAGCATAGTGTGCCAAGAAGATGTGTATCCACTGGTTACTCTCTCAAGTCGCGAAATGTTTGCTAATTATAAACGTCTCGCCGTCGAGCCTCTTCTTCTCTTTGTCAATGAAAAACGAGTTTTGCTAAGTGTGCCCCGATGAATTCGCGTCAATCATTTTTATAGATGTGGCTGCGTGAAACCGCACATTGCGTAATCCTGCGCTTGAACTCCACATTTATTGTTAGCTGAGGACATGCTCAGATAAAATTTAAAACCAGCAATAACCGACATCGAATATCAACGATAATGACAATTATAATAAAAAATAATTAAATCTGAAATGTCATCGGTTATAATGAGTTTATCACTTATTAATAAAAAATGGTGATGTCTTTTATTTATTTCATAAATTAACGGAATTTTGTTTTTTGTTAATAGGAATTCATTGATTATAAATAAAGTTTTTTAAAATTAATTGCATTAATTTTAATCACATGGCAAAGTTAAATTTGCTTTTAATATTATTTTCATTTTGTTTTATTTAAATTATTAATAAATAGATTTATAAAGATTATTATGTAAATATATGTATATAATTATGTACATATGTAAACATATGTATAATAGTAATTCTTATTGTCCTAAATACTGGATGAAGATTCGCTACATCTCAAAATACATTTTATGATCGACTGTAAGATGAGAAGTATTCTTCTGCGATCATCCACCATTACGACTCTTTTTAATTCTTTAGCGACATCATATGATGATAAATGATTTGATGTTATTCAAATGTCATATATTTCCTTTTCTACGAAAGTGACGCGAGATTTTAGATTATTGGACAAGCTATAATATCGGTATCAGTATGTTCGAAAAAAATATAAAAACGCGCGATAAACTTTGGTATAAGGAATTATTTCATTTTTTAATAATGTTTGTAATTAGTAAGATCTTAAAAATCTTGTTAATATTTGTAATTAACAAGATAATAAAAATATCTTATTAATTTCCATTTGATACAATCACAATATGTAACATTATAACACGAGTATAGATTAAATTATAAGTCAAAAGCTACGGTTATAGTTAAGTGAAAACAACGCGTTATAGCCAGACGGGAATGAAAGAGGGCAATCGATTCTACGATAACTCGAGATCGGGCACGAGCATCTACTTTGAAAATATCATTGGATATACTCGATAACGATCTTCATGTTGGATATCAACTACTTTCTCACGACTGTTGATGCATAATTGTTGCAAATGCTTAACGCACGATAAAGTCAAGTACCCACTTGAATCGGCGCGAGCCGTTAATAATGATTAATCATTGAAACGATTACGATACTATCGAGTTTCATTTCATCCATTCATATCTACTGTAGTGTGCTTGTAGTTTTATATACACGCATATCCTTTGATATGTAAAATTTATCGGTAAAATTACAGTTACGTAATTTTGTTTTTTACACAATATTGTACAGTTTAATAAATACTGCAATAAATTTATAGATACTTGCATATGTGAAATAATGATATTTTCGTATCTTGAAATAATTCTTATTTGCTTATGATTTTTACTGAATTATATATATATACATATATATACATAGAAAATTTAATAAAAACTATAAGAATGCCTCTATATAATTCACAAATCGCAAAACGTAATTCGCAAATCCTAATGCAGAATGCATGACGACCACTGCACGCAAGGACACGCAAATGATGAAAACTAATCACACGCAACGAAAAAACAAATGCAAATCTTTATTCTGCGTTTGCGAACTACGTTTTACGATTTGCAATTTATATAGAGGCACCTTAAAACTAATATATTAAATTATTTAATTATTTAATATCGACGACCAACAATCATAGCGAACGAGCCTAGAGGCTTCTCTAATCTCAAGCGCATTGTAAAAAATTGTGTAAAATTATAACTATTATGCTG